TTGCCTAAGAATGTAATTTCGTAGGATCACCACAGTTACTAGTACATAGTAATTAAATTTCGTTAAAACGAAATCTAAACAAATTATGAAGCATAATTTTAGGCAGCTAAGTTTTTTCTCAAATTGCATTTTCACAAGCAATTTGAGAATTGGTTGCTTAGTTTGGTTTTAATACAAATAATTTTATTAACGTATAACAATAAAAATGTTATTAATAATAATGAAAAATATTTATTACAGCAGAGTTAATTATACACATTGCCCGCGAAATTTAAGATTAACATAACAAATGCAAAAATTGGTAAGAAATATTTAGAAATTTAGGTGTTATATATATATTCAATAAAAAACATTTTTCAAGTTATTCACTGCTATCTTCATAATCCGCAGTATACATTTTCCTTCAAGATTTTTTAAGTAATTGTTAATACATAAATTTTTATATTCCACATATAATTAATATCCAAGTACTTAGAGATTTTTTTAATTTTTTCAACACTGAATATTTGCCGCTTACTTTTGTGTCATAAATTAGTATTGCCAATCATTTGAAATCTCCACAGTTTCTTTTAACTTAAATATTACACACCACATGTAAGTAATTTGTGTCTCTTCGTAAATTCTTCATGCATATCTTTAATTTTTATTTAAGATGAACACTAAAAATGTTATATAAAGTATCAACAAAAAAAATAATTCATCGGCGGTATTCTAACAATATACAACTATAATAATCACAAAAATTTTTGAAGATAATATATATTTTATAATATTTTCTGTTTATATTAAAATTTATTTTGCTTTATAAACATTTATAATATCAGATTTATACAACTTTTATAAATATTATTCTTGTTTATTGTTAGAAATTTACTGTTTTAACTACATATAAAATCCCAAAAGTCTTTATCAGATTTATTTTTATATATATATCATAAGAATATTAATCTATAATAATTTATTTATTTATATATATCTTAAAACCATATGTATTATATACTATACTAATGTTGTAAATCAGCAGTAAAACCAATTTTAAAATATATTTTAAAATCAGTTTAAAAAAAATTAATGCGCTAATATTCTAAAAGTGTTTAAAGTAGTAAACCTCGATAGTTACACTGAAATAAATGAAATTGTTGAAATAAACTTTACTATTTTCCTACAGAAATTAAAAATGTTTAGTCAAAGTACGATTTGTAATAATTTAATTACTTTCTAAGAGCTAAATTATATTTAAAAAAATTCCATTAAGGATTATATATAAAAATAATAATTTATAAGACTCAGATAAATGAGGCGAACTTTTCTTGCGATGTCAACAATTTTAATATAAAATTATTGTTGTGTTTGAGAAATTTTAATCCAAAACATAAATTTTTAAAGCTTTCTTTCAAAAAATTTTATTGTATCTAAATTGTTTTATAACGTTCTTACATATCATTAAAAAATATCAGTTTACTGAATTATTGTAGTGTAATACATTAATGATAAAACAAAAATTTATATAAATCACAAAATTTTTGCATTTTTTACGGTGAAATATTCAAAAGTTAAACTATATATAATTATTAAAAATTGAAATGCTGGCAACTCTGCTATCACATATTGTATTTAAGTGGTCCTAACCTGTCAATTGTTTGTGTGTTGTTCATTGGCGTAGAAGAAAACCACTAGCGGCGGCTAATTTTATTTAAGTGCGTTAGTAGCTGCTGTTGTCGCGCCATCGTATTTCTTTTGAAATCGTTATTTTAGTTAATATATCAAATTTTGAATAAAATATTTTTTTTTAAGTTAATATAAAAGTGATTTCTTTAATACGGCAATTAAGTAAACTGTTGAGCATATGTGCATGTATGCTACGGAATTTCATTCAAGAATTTTTTTTGTTTTTTTTACCGCAAAAATTTTTGTTAAAGTGACAAGGATACAATTTGTACAATAATTAATTTTAAGTGTTATTAAATAAAAACGTGAGTTTAATACAATATTTTTTAAAATTTTTGCATTCTTATAATTAAGCATTAGTCATCCTTAGTTTTTCTACCTCAAATAAAAACGATGGCAAAACTATTTCCACCGCCCAAATAAACAGAATTTATGAAATTTACACCCATTTCAGTTTTTTTTATCCATTTATGTGCAAGAAAAAAGAGAGCAAATGGAAAATAAATGTGCAGAGCAGAACACAAATAAGAGAGCACCAAAGATGTAGAAAGTTTGACACTCATTTCTCTGACATTTAATAATTTTAATTATTTGCTCAGAGTTGCCAAAAATATGTAAAATAAAAAATATTTCAAACAAACAAAAACATTTTTGATAAATATTTGAAATGAATTATTTTTACTAGTAAATAAAAATATTTTTCACTTTGTGCTGTGTTTGAAATTTACTGTGTTTTTAATTAATAAAAAAATGCAAATAATTTACATTTGAATTGTCTGCAAATTTGCAAACTTACACAATTCGCAAATGCATATATAAATGCACGTATAATGTGGAAACATCGGATGTGTAGTTTATGAACTTAGTTTAATGCAACATTTGAATTGCAAATGAATTTAATTAAACATTTTATAACAAAGCAAATTACTATTGTTTTCAAATGTAATGGATTGTTATAAATATTTTGTATGTCTCTGATTTTAGTTGCATTTCACTATCGATTTTTTAAAATACCGGCACACATTTTATTTTGTTTTTTCTTTTAAAATTTAAATGATGATTTCCCCCTAAAATGATGAGACCAATCTATTAAAGTATTGTTTCTAACAGTTCATTTAAATCAAAAATAAATACTCCAATATTTAGATATTTTTCAATTAATTGATGTCTTCAGATCTGACTACCTGAAGCAACAGGTAGAAATTTGGGTTGTTCTAGTAGAAGTTAGTATCAGCTAGTAGTTTCAATTTATATAAATTAAAATAAAAAGTAGTAACTCAAATATTTATAGGTAAATTCAGAAAATAATAATTTTGATTTATAGCCCAAAATGTCAATAATGTAATAATGTAATGCATTATATATGTGTAACTCACAATTTGTAAATAGAATCATTTTTGCATTAACAATATTATTACTGTTTTTATTATTGCTGAAGCTGACGTTCAATTTAGCGTTTTGTAAATTATAAATGCAGCCGCGGTTACTTCCTCCTTACAGCATATCTACTACTTGTGTTTGTATAAATATGCAGTCCATGTTGACTCTTCGGTCAGTTGAGCAAACACGACTTTAAAGGTAAATTAGCAAAGGTTTTGCTTCCGCAAGCTTTTTTGGTGTACTTACGAAAATCAAGACGGTTTTGAGGTGAATTGCATAGTTAAGCGTGCGCACCAGTCAATCGAAAATTTCACCTGTCGCTTAATAGACAACATTAAAAATAAAGAAAAATTAAACAAAAGAAAAAAAATTAAATAAAATTACTTACATTATTTTAAAAGTTTAACATAATTGACGTTTGCAAGTGATTTGTTGTGCTTGTTAAATTGCTTACTTAATATAATATATAATAAGACCTGTCTCTTCGCCGAATGCGCATACCATAGTTATAGATAAAATCGAGTTGAGTTATGGTTAATTAAAAAACAAAAACTGTTCACTTATAATATAAATTTTGAAAATAAAATTGCAAATTACGATTTGCTATTTAGCTGATTATGTAAGTAGAGTTTTTGATTTTGTACATTTTATTATTTTTAATATATATCCTTTTATATAAAAAAGGAATAATTTGTTTTTTTTGCCTAATCTATTTGTTTCCTTTTGAATCCTGAAAATTTTATCAGTTCACTAATAGAACTGTAATCAAAATATAAAGAATGATGAAGAACAAATAATTTATTTACATGGAGTTATTGCGTTATATAAGTATGTATAACGTATATATATTACATATTACATATATACATAAGTATATATATATATATATATATATAGATAGAATTTAGTAACTAAGCAATAATAGGATAATAGGAGCAGTCACGATCGGTAACCAAGTATCATAGTAACTAAACAATATGGTGACAATCATTAAA